AAGAAGGGGGGGGAAAAGTCGAATATAATTCAGTGTTCAGTAATTACGCATGTAATTTGGTTCCTTAAAGGTTAAGGATGGGGGAAGAGTAGGGAGAAGAAAAGAGAAATTTATTGGTCGTATTAATAATTTTGATTTTACTTATCGACAATTTTTAATATCTTGTTCATTCGCAATAAATGTGGTTTTTTGAGGAAAATATATTATTTCACTAATTAAGGAATAGGTATCTAACATGATCATAGGTTTTCGTATCAATTTCTGCAGAGATCTCCAGATCGCAAGTCTTGCGATACTAAACTATATTTCTGTTATTTAAGGAGAGTGTACAGGCAGACGTCATTTTCCAACTTTCACAATGTTCTCGTGATTACGCAGGTAATTGGTTCATTACTAGTTAAGGGTGGGGAAGAGTAGGGAGGAGCAAAGAGAAATTTATTAGTCGTATTAATAATTCTGATTTTATGCTTGCCTTGAGCCGAAGGTTTATCGAAAACAATCTCTCTACCTGCACAGGGTATGATAAGATGTACATACACACTACTCTTCCCAAATCCCACTTGTGGGATTTCACTAAGTAGTTGTTGTTATATTAATAATTCTGATTTTACATATCGACATTTTTTAATATCTTGTTCATTCGCAATAAATATGCTTTTGAGGAAAAGATACTATTTCACCAATCAAGGAAAAGGTATCTAATATGATCATTAGGTTTTCGTATCTGTTTCCGCAGAGATCTGCAGATCGTAAGTCATTATGAACTTCGCGACACTGGACTATATTCCGTCATTTCCGAAAAGTGTACGGACAATCGTCATTTCCTCCTTTTACAATATTCTCATGAAGTTGTTCACGAATCAAAGTCTGAATGTTCTTTTGAAATCTCGTTATTCTATTCCTAAGTTAAGTAACTCTCTTGAACCATCCACCATATACATAGTACATTTACATATCGACAATCTTTAATATAATAAATATATTTTTCGAGGAAAAGATACTATTTCACCAATCAAGGAATAGATATCTAATATGAATATAAGGTTTCCGTATCCGTTTCTGCAGAGATCTCCGGTAAGTCATTATTATCTTTGCGATACTGGACTATATTTCCGTTATTTTCGAAAAGTGTACGGGCAGACATCATTTCTTCCTTTTACAATATTCTTATAAAGTTGCTCACGAATCAAAGTGTGAATGTTCTTTTGAAGTCTCACTATTTTATTCCCTAAGTTAAGTAAATCTCTTGAACGATCCACCATATACATTTATATATTGTTTTGGACTAAGCTAAAAAAAATGACTATTTCAATGATGACCCTCCATAGATTAACCTAAATAAGCCACGGCTAAAGTTGCAAAAAAAAAAATAAATAAATTGAATACCACTTGAAGGCTTATCTACTTTGATTGCTTAGGCTAATTAATCACTTAAACCTCCCATTTCGTTTGACATTATAACACCATTTCCCCTATATAGTATAATATATTACAAACCTTGTTTTAATTGAGTAATCGAATTCATTTTTATCCATTTTGATAATATTTAATTTAGTACATAAAACACATGATGTGTTTATTTGACTATGTGAGGTCATTGCATATCTAATCATTAGCTTAAAGGTATATATATATATATATATATATACCCCTGCATTTTAATACAAGATCTATTTATAGAAGACATTTGAAGTTAACATTTGGAAGTGACACAACAAAATGATACCCTTTCTACTCTTAGTATCTCTTCCTATCATTCTCTTTTTTCTTCTTCTCAAAGCCAAAATAGGTAGAAATAGTATTCTACCACCAGGTCCTTTAGGTTTACCATACATTGGAAATTTGCATCAATATGATAGTTTAACCACTCATATCTATTTTTGGAAACTTTCCAAGAAATATGGTAAAATCTTCTCATTAAAACTTGCTTCTGCTAATGTGGTAGTAGTTTCTTCAGCAAAATTAGCAAAAGAGGTAACAAAAACACAAGATTTAGCATTTTGTAGTAGACCTTCTGTTCTTTGCCAACAAAAATTATCTTACAATAGTTATGATATTGCACTTGCACCTTATAGTGACTATTGGAGAGAAATGAGAAAGATATGTATTATTCATCTATTTAGTCTCAAAAAAGTTCAATCTTTTAGCCCGATTCGCGAAGATGAAGTTTCAAGAATGATCAAGAAAATATCAAAACAAGCTAAAAATTCACAAATTACCAATTTGAGTAGTATATTGGTTTCAATAACTAGTACAATTATTTGTAGAGGTGCTTTTGGTATTAGATATGATGAAGAAGCACAAGAAAGGAGGAAATTTGATGAACTTTTGACAGAGACACAAGCATTGTTGGCAGGGTTTTTTTTCTCTGATTATTTTCCTTTTTTATTTTGGTTTGATAAAATTTCTGGAAAAATAAATAGACTTGAAAAGAATTTCAAATATTTAGATGAGTTTTATGAAGGACTTATTGAGCAGCATCTCAATCCCAATAGGCCAAAATCAATGGAAGGAGATATTCTTGATCTTTTGCTCCAATTAAAGAAAGAGCATTCAACTCCAATCAACATCACTTTTGACAATATAAAGGCAATTCTCATGGTAAGTAATCATTTTTCTATAAATATATACACCGACACTGTAAAGAATTTTTACGTCATTAATCTACTATTTAATTGCTTATATTCTTTATTACCTTATATTACGCTGCAGATTAATTTAACGTGATGGTGTAAAACACCGGTTTACCTAAATTAAACTCATACATAATTACAGTCAAACCTCTCTATAACATCATCTCTATATTACATCCATTCACTATAAAATTCAAGTTTTCTTGGAACCGATTTTTATGTTATGTTATAATATATATTCTCTATAATAGCACTTCACTGTAGAAGCCAAAACATATCGGAACAAACGAGGCTATTATAAAGAGGTTTGACTGCATGTGCATGCATGCATACACAACTGCTTATCTATATTTCTAATGAAGTGATATATNCAGACACTGTCGCGATTTCATTAGTTTGGGCAATGACAGCCTTGATAAAGAACCCAAAAGCCATAAAGAAAGTTCAAGAAGAAATTAGAAAATCAGTTGGAAAGAAAGGAATGGTAAATGAAGATGATATACAAAATTTTCACTATCTTAAAGCAGTGATAAAGGAGACATTTAGATTGTATCCTCCAGCTCCAACTCTTTTGGCAAGAGAAACAATTCAAAATTCCATACTAGAAGGGTATAAAATTCCACCAAAAACTATTATTTACGTTAATTATTGGGCTATCGCGAGGGATCCTGAATACTGGGAAAATCCAGAAGAATTTATACCAGAGAGATTTTTGAATAGCAATATCGATTACAAGGGCCAAGATTTTGAGTTTATTCCATTTGGAGCAGGCAGGAGAGTTTGCCCAGGTATTCAGTGACGGTTGTATAATTTAAAGGATGAGTTTTATTCATGAAAATGTTAAAAGTAATAGAAATATAATTAAATATCACGTTTTTAACTCATTTTTAACGAGTTCAGAATCTTGAATTTATAAAGTTCAAATCTTGAATTTGCTTTGCAGGTATTGCACTTAGTGTTGCAACTTTGGAGCTTATACTTTCAAACCTTGTTTATGCATTTGATTGGGAGTTGCCTTGTGATATGAAGAAAGAAGACATTGACACTGATGTTTTGCCTGGACTTACTATGCACAAGAAAAATGCCCTTTGCCTTGTCCCTAAATATTATCTGTAGACCTAGTCATATATGAGTTTTTGCACTTTCTTTCTGTTTAAGGTTGTCAAATTAGGTTTAAAATAAAAGAAACACCTCTAATTCTCATCTGTAAATGGTGTAGTTTATGATGGACAATAAGGAGCTAGCAGCGGCGTGTGGATGCAGCCCATAGCCTTGCTCCTATGTGCTTTCCTATCTTGTTTCTTACTATCACATCTATATTACCTATCTTGTTTGTTACTATCAAATCTATGTTTACACTGGCAAATGCTTCCCTTTTTAGTTCATTTCCTTTTGGGGTGGCAAACGGGCGGGTCGGGATCGGATATGGGCGGGTCGAAAACGGGTAATGCAAAAAAATAAAAATAATAATCCGACCCCGTCCATATTTAATACGGATAAAATACAAGTTAACCAGCGGATAGTATGAAAGCCTATATTATCCATGACTTCTTGAATATGATCACTTTTGGGAGAATTCCTAGTCTCCCAAACTTGAAGAATTCCTAATTTGAAGTTTTACAAATGTAAAAGTTAAACACATTAGTTATTTATTTTCTAAGCGGATAATATGATTTTTATCCATATTTGACCCGTTTTTAAAAAGTTCATTATCCAACCCATTTTTTAATGGATAATATGGGTGGATAATTATTTCTTTTAACCATTTTGCCACTACTAATTTCCTTTGATAAGATTTTGCATTTAGCTCCACATAGGAATTAGGTGTTTTGTATATAAACAACAACAACATCAACAACAAGCCTAGTGTAATCCCACAAGTAGAGTCTCCTAGTCTCTCAAACACAGGAATCCCCAACTTGAAACTTTACAAATGTAAAAGTTAAACTCATAGTTATCCATTGATTATTCATTTTCTAAGCGGATAATATGACTTTAATCTATATTTGACCCGTTTTTAAAAAGTTCATTATCTAACCAATTTTTTAATGGATAATATGGGTGGATAACTGTTTTCTTTTAACCATTTTGCCACCACTAATTTCCTTTAATAAGATTTTCCGTCTAGCTCCACATAGGAATTAGGTGTTTTGTCTATAAACAACATCAACATCAACAAGCCTAGTGTAATCCCACAAGTGGAGTCTCGAAAGAGTAGTGTATACGCAGACCTTACCGCTACCTTTAGAAGGTAGAGAGACTGTTTTTCCGATAGACCCTCGGCACGTATTTCGTCTATAAAGAAATCGAAAAAAAGGTGAGTGTTTTTTCCTACCATAATAATACAGAATGCTATGGTATATCATATGAAGCAAAAGACAACTGCATGCAGGAGAAACCTATGCATCTTAACATCCAAATGTACATTGTAGAAGCAAAGATATGACTTAGAAGCTACACAAACTCCTGCAGTTGAATCAATAATGTCTGAGGAGTTCACAGCACATAATAAGAGAGAAGTGCATAGCCGAATTTACGTACAATACATGATGAGTTTAAGAAAACGAACGAAGAAAACTATGCGTCTTGATGTACTGAAGAGCAACAAACAAATGGTACCCAATACGGTTTCGTCTTCCTCTTTTCCTTCTTAATGTCAACTGGATACCTCGCGGGAGAATTCCATTCTTTCTCCGCCTCCTTACTCGCGGCAGCCTGCTCAGTTGGTGCCTCCGAGCTTAGAATAGAGTTCACTGTCGTCACGGTTGTAGCCCCATTCTTCTTAGTGGCAGCAGTTTCATCTTTCTGGTTAACAGAAGGCACTTGTTTTGTGTTTGGAGATTTGGCTTCACCGAGTAGATTTTTCAATGGAGTGTGTTGCTTCCCTGTGCTCCAGTTTGTTACTTTTGCAATTATCTCCTCATTCTTCTTTCTCCCTTGAGATTCATTCACCACGTTGGTAATAGAAGGGAACCACCCGGCTTTTAGAGCTTCCGTTTTGGGCTGTTGAGCGATAAGCTGTGCTTCAATCTCGGAAGCAGAAGCTTTCTTGTCGGCGTTTTCTCTGGATTCAACCAATGTCATGAAAGACGGAGGCTCGTAAACATCTGGCTTATCAGGATGCCGCTCCTCAGCTCCAGAAGTTGGTTTCTGCAAGACACGCTCCGATTTCTCGCGAGTATCAGTTGCTTCGGCATCAGGAACAGCTGTCGACTCCGACTGGGTGGAAAGCACTGTTTCATCACAAATAGCAGAATCTATTATTAGATTGGAGGAAAATACATCCTCAATAACAAAAAGCAACAAAAAATTAACTTCCAATAAGCTGGTTTAATGATATCTATACAAAGAAAACAGAAGTGATTATACCTGAAACAGAACCCCAGTTGGCATCTAGGCTATCGGCTCTGCTGCTCGAATTCGTTGATATATCCACTGCAGAAACCGTGTCGTTCTGTTTAATGAGCTTGTCATTACCCTCATTCAGTGAGGCTGATGAAATGACCCCAGTGGCATTCTTAAGGCCATCTCCTGCATGGAAGTTATCAACAACGCGACCGTTCAAATCAGTATCGACAACCAAACCAGCTGGCTCTTTCACATCACAATCACTAATTATTTGGGAATCCAATCCAGTTGCACTGGTAGGCTCCAACGCTTTGGCATTGTTGCTTACTTTGCTGTCTTCGGAGGCTTCATGAAAAATTTCATCTCTGCTTTCATGCACAGTCGTGACTGTAACTATAACAGGGTCATTATGCCCTCCAACTGAGCAGATAGTTTTATCACCTTCAAAAACTCCTTCTAGCTTTTCCTTAGTTCTTTCTTTCTCAGTTTCACCCCCAGTTACAATTGGCTGTTCAGTTCTAGCCTTTTCATGTTCGTCATGGTCACTTCCTCCAAGAGTGACCGTAGTTTGATTAGCTTCAGATAAACAAGAAGTGTCTACAACGGTTGTTTCCTTGTTTGCAAGAAGCTCATTTTCTGGATGTCCACCCTTGTTCTCTTCTTCCATGGTAAAAATTGTTTCGGTTCTTTCGATTACAGGATCATCAACTTTTGTTGTTTGCTTGGCTTCTTCCTGAACAGATGAAGTAATGGTGTTCGTATCTGAGTGGTCGGTCGGGGAACCTGAAGGAAGAGAATTCTTTAAAGAGTCACCATCGATAGAAACAGGTTCAGGTTCAGAAGAGCAGAGTACTTCAGAAGAGCCAAGATCCAACGGCAAACTAGACTTGAACTTATTGTAGTCTTTGAAGTCTTTAAGCAAGAAGAGTTCAGGGTTGTCTGACGCAGGTAAATCTTTTGCCAAAGACACCACATGCACATCTTCCCTCACTTCCTCAGTTTTGGATGAGTCGGAAAACTCTGTTTGACTACCACCATCTATTTCCTTGGAAGAATCAGCTTCCAATTCCAACATAGGGACATTAGGCGCCTGTACAAGAGGTGAAAGTTCAACGGAGATTCTCTGTTTGTCCTCCACCTTATCGGGTTGCTCACACTCCTTATCAATGTTCTCATCAGCCATAGCTTTAACACCAGCTTCAGACAAGTCCAGTTTCAAGTCCACAGAATCAGGATTTTCATTCTCATCATGCTGTAGTTTGGCTTCAATCGGAACACTAACTGTAGCTTGCTCATCTGCCTCAAGTAAATCAGACGGGAAGTTTAAAGGGTCTGAATTTTTCCCCTCTGCCTCCTGTGGCGTTGACTCATAACTTGCATTATTTGATGTCTTTCCATCTGTATCAGATACTGCTGATTGAGAGACTTCGACAGCAACACCGACAGCATCAACTAAACCTTCACCGGTATTAATATCTTCTATCTCCTTCAAATCGCTTGGCTGCCCAGAAGACATCTGCACGTGTCTGGCTTCAATAGATTCAGTTGTATTATTCTCCTGCAGAGAAGCATCCACTGGTATCTCTGACTTAATAGGGTCGCAATCAATCTTTGTACCGAAAGATTCAGCTACTTCTGGCTGATTGATTGCACTTTCAAATGATTCGAGATGATTCACTTCAGTCGCATGTCGGGCATCATTTGAGGATCCTGAAATACCTACAACCATGAAAGTGCACCCCAAATTGGCAAAAACCACATTACATGTAATTAACGAACAAAATGCAGCTTTCAAATGTGAAGGCAGATTGCTAAACCTAAATAGCAGAATGACAAAAATCAAAGATCCTAAAAATTTAATATATGTAAATAAAGGTTGTCGTAATGACATAAAATCGAACTGGCGGCCAGCAGATTACAAGGACATAATTCTCTCCAAAAAATAAATAAATAATTGAAGGATGCTCTCCTCTGACCTCCATACAATATCACAATGTAGGACTGGTTCACACGGTTGAATTCATAACATCATATTACCATTCATTAAAAGAGCAAGTTCAAAGGATGTTCTGCAGTTCAGATAAACTACCACTCCAAGTACCCACCGCCCACCCAACAGAGGGAAAGGACAAACTCATTGCATGAAAGTAAAAGAAAAGAACAACTGAATTGGTTAGAATATCTTCATTTTAGGCACTCAAGGATGTGGCCTAGTGGTCAATGAAGTGGGTGAGAACCCTGAGGTCTCAAGTTCAAATCCCAGCGGAGGCAAAAAACACTAGGTGATTTCTTCCTATCTATCCAAACCTTGTTGGATAGAGTTACCTAGTACCTGTTGTTGGTGGGAGGTGGCAGGTATCCCGTGGAATTAGTCGAGGTGCGCGCAAGCTCGCCTGGACACCACGTATATAAAAAAAATATCTTCATTTTAGCATCAATCCATTCTTGATCATCATTTCTTCCAATCTCACCGAATAGCCTAATAGAAATTGATTGTAAAGGAAAAGGCGTGCGGTAAAAACATGTCGGGTTTTGGTACTCCCTAAATTGCTTTAAACACATCTTTCACTGTCTTGGTGGTTTCCTGATCACATAATATTGGGCAATTCCAACTCCTCAAGGAGCAACTCCTCCTCAGGAGGACCTAAGAAACAGGCCACATGGCGATACGACAATTCAGAACAAATTTATGCTGAAAATTGTGGATTGACCTGAAATAAATGTCTTCAAAGGCACAGCTACTGTGTCCGGCATAAATAGCCGATTCAGGAAATATGACAAAGGGAATTTAATGGTCGTCATAGAGCTTAGAGACAAGTACAAAAACAAGGATTTAAAATATCCAGTATAAATTTAATTTAAACCACCTTGACACAATGGAAATAAATACTTTGAGAAATTAAGCAAAGTTGTTCATAAAATAATTAAATTACTCGAGGAACATCTATCTAACACTGCCCCTTTCAGTGTTTAATGTGTTTTTTTAGTTGAATCAATACAAGTAAACTTCATCCCGTCCATCTCATTTAGAATTCATCAAAAGAATTTGTAGACACAACCATTTTGGCTCACCAATTACCAAAAGTAGCAGGGGAAATTAATTTCCTAACAAGGGAAAAAGGAAAGTTAGATGCAGAAACAAGATTCTAATTAAAGGAAAGAACTAAAATGGCATTACTTTGAACTTTGACCAGTTGAGGTATCTAGCTTCTACTATTTGCAGACATCAACGGACAACAAGAACAACAACAACAAACCCAGTGATTTCCCACAAGTGGGGTATGGGGAGGAAAGTGCGTACGCAGACCTTACCCCTACCATGGGAGGGCAGAGACGCTGTTTTCAACGGACATCAACGGACCTATCTATATTAATTCAACCAAATCTAGTCCTTTGTAAACGCCACTCTTTGTCCTTATCACCTAATTATATCATTTCTCCCGTTGAATTAAATCAAGAATTTATTTTATACCCAAAACCTTATTCTCCAATCAAAATGATTAAAAATTTCTTAGAAGGTTCTTCTATGAAGACATACATACTCCACATGCCATATTTTCAGGAGAGCTTTCATTTGCCCTTGTTTACAGCGAGTTTGTCGTGCATGAGCTGCCATACGTGTTTTATCATTTATGACGAATATCCTCAAAGTCTAACATGTTTCATGCACTACTCGTCACAATCCCACGTGAATCCCCAAGTAGGAAAAAGAAAAAGACAAGAAATAAAGAATCAACCTCCCCTGAATGAGAGATTGTCTTTTCCCTACTCTGCGAAAGGTCATTTGACGACAAACACAGAATCAGGATGAAATCAGGAAAAGCTTGCAAACCATAATAATATATACATTGCTAAGTACAACTAGATACAGCACATTTGAGAAGCCATTGATCTAGCATAAATACCTCCAGTTGAATCGGCCTTCAATAACTCATCATCAACTCTTTTCACGTTCGATCTCAAACTTTTGACACCCTCCGGATGCTCTTCCAACCCAGGGCTAATCCCGCTATCAGAAAACTCCGTAACCGCATCAGAGAAAGTTTCATCTTCTGATCTATATGATTTGTCACTAATACCACTAATCTCTTTAACAATTGTCTTTCCAACGATAGGACCTAAAACCAAAAAAACAAGATCAACATAAAACACAAGAATTCAGCTGAAAAGAGAAACTAAACTACATTCGTGCAGAAGGCTCGAGATTTACTCACTTGGAGTTTGCTGATCCCCGTCCGAGTGGTGCTCGTCGTCGGAAACAGACGAATGGGTAGAATTATCTGCTGTTTCAGATTCACTAAGCTTATATCCTTCAATTTTTCCACAGACTTTCTTGTGTGATCTTCTGTGTCTAGCACTAGGATGTGGATTTGGAAAAGGCCACCCGCATTTATGACACAAATGCGGTGCATGATTCTCAGGCCCTGAATGTAAGAAACCTCAGTTTCACAAAAAATTATACATGAAAATACAAAGATTAACAGAGCAAAAACAAGAAATAATGCTACAAATAATTACACCCTGAAGAGTATGAACTACACATGTCTGATATATCTGTGTACATGCTTTTAAGATTAAATAAAACCCCATTTCACAACTCACAACACACACAAAAAAAAAACATAAATTAAACATTGAAAATTAAAAAGATTCATAGAGCAATAACAGGAAATGATGCTTAATAAGTATATTAAAATCAATCACTAACCAAAATTTCACACATTAATAGATACACATATCTTCAAAAATCAAAAGAAAACCCCATTTCCCAACACCCAATAAACTAAAAAAAACCATAAACAAAAACAAAATTCACAGAACAATTAAACATAAATGAAACTAAACATATTTTACCACTCTCATACTCATGTTGACCAAAAGTCAAGATTTTGACCAGTACATGACTTGATACTACAGAAAGGCAATTAGCACAAAAAACAAAAAGTACCAAATAAAGTATGAGAAATGTAGATTCTTCAGCAAACCCTTAAAACCCCTAATCAAGAAACTATATACAAAGAAAAATAAAAAATTTAAATAAAAAAAACAAGATTTCAGTAACCCAAATGAGAAAAGGAAGATATTAACCTGATGGGGTAGTAAATTTGTGATCTTGGCTTTCCATAAAGCAAGAAAATGAGTGAAAAAAACAGCAAGAGAAGTGAAACCTGGAGATGAACAAGTCTGCAGTACGGACAAAAAAAGAAAAGGTTTTGTTAACTAAAAGGAGAAGAAATGTGAAAGAAAGACTTTATTAGTCTTTAGGAGTTATTAAAGTTGGAAAAGTATATGATATTGACAAAGAGGTGGGTGTGATTGGCGGGGTGGGGTGGNTATAAAAAACAGTAAATTTGCGATACCTGTCTTTTAACTAGAACTAGAATCCTATGCTTTGGAATCTTCCGGTATGATTGAATGAGTCAAGTTGTGTGCTTGGAATGGTTGTACATTAATGAGATTCATGCTTTTTAATAGATGAAAAAAGGTAGGTACAAGATATTACGCATTCACGCAAGGTCCGGAAAAAGTCGCACCACAAGGGTGTAATGTAGATAATCTATAATTATGAGTTAAATTTGCAGTGTTTCTGGCTTCCTATCAAAGTTTATAATATTATAAATTAATTATTATTTTTTCCATCTCAATTTATTTGATAAATTCAAATTTTAAGAGTTACACGAATTTTTCTTTAATTACGATTTCTTCATATGCTTTGCAAATATTTTGAATTATTAACTACTGTGACTTATAATACTTTGATATAATTTTTAAAAATATAAATTTTGTTTTTAAAAAATTAAAGATTCTATGTTCGAATTCGAATTAAAATTGAGAAGGTTGACTCTCATATACGTAAAAAGAAATTGAGATATAGTACAATATTTTATAGTTTCTTGATATTTGTGAGACTCTTATGGATTATTTCCTTATCTGATATGGAATAAAATTAAAGTATAGGGATTTATAGAATGTTTGGGTTGTTTTGGTAAGAAATGAAGGAATACAAATTATTTCTTTTTTTAAGTTTGGTAAGGAAATTAAAAAGAAACTAAAAGTAGATGAGTTAGATCGTATCAAATTTGTTGAATAATATCAAGATGAAGTTGATGAATTGCAAATGCAACTCAATGGCATGCGTAAATCCACCAGTCATAGTTCTGTAAAGTCGAACCAGGCAACTTACAAGTCAACTGGAGAAGGGCTTGCCAGAACAGAGTCCACTAGTACCAACACAAATGGGAGAACCAAAAATGGATCAAGTCCTACGTGTCACCACTGTAATAAAAATGGACACAAATATTCCTTTTGTCGATTTCGTAAGCCAAATGTCTCAGAATGGATTTGGAAACCCCAAAAATAATCATGAATCTAGTAATACTAACCAATAAGGACCCAAACAAGCTTGGGTACCTAAAAGAAAGTGATAATTATATTTTGTAGGAAAACCACAGAAGGAGTCACGAAGGAAAATGGTACTTGGATAGTGCGTGTTCCAGTCACATGACAGGTGATAAAAACCTGTTTAAAGAAGTTACAAAAATAGATGGAGGAAATGTCAAATTTGGTGATGACTCAAAAGGAAAGATGGTCGGTACCGGAACAGTTCCTTTCAATAATTACTGTGATATCACTGAAGTTTATCTTGTTGACGGACTTAACTACAACCTTCTAGAGTATAAGTCAGCTATGTGACTCAGGGTATGAAGTAAAGTTCAAGAAAACAGGCTTTGCTATTGAAGATGAGACAGTTAAAATAATCCTCCCAGGTAAAAGGTATGGAAATGTTTATATTCTTGATGGTTTTGAAAATATAGATGGTCATATTTGCTTAACGTCCATATCTGATGATCCATGGTTATGGCATAAGAAACTTGGCCATGCAAGCATGCATTTGATAGAAAAACTTTTCAAGCATGATTTAGTTATTGGTTTACCCAAACTCAATTTTTCTAGAAATCATGTATGTGATGCATGTCAGATTGGTAAACAAACTAGAAATTCTTTCAAAAACAAAGATGTTGTATCCACTTCAAAACCCTTGCAATTGCTTCATATGGACTTATTTGGACCTACTAGAACTGCTAGCATTGGAGGAAAACGATATGCATTTGTTATTGTTGATGATTACTCATGTTTTACTTGGGTAATTTTTCTATCTCACAAAGATGAAGCTTTGAAAAATTTCGAGATCTTCTGTAAAAAGGTCGAAAGAGAAAAGGGATATCTTATTACAACTATTCAAAGTGATCACAGAGGAGAATTTGAAAGCAGAGCATTTGAAGATTTTTGTAACGATCAAGGATACACTCACAACTTCTCTGCTCCAAGGTCACCCCAACAGAATGGAGTTTTTGAAAGGAAAAATAGGACTTTACAGGATATGCAAGAACTATGATACTAGAATATTCACTGCCAAATTACTTTTGGGCAGAAGGAGTAAGTACAGCTTGTCACATTCTCAATCGATGTCTCATAAGACCCATCCTGAGGAAGACTCCATGTGAACTGTGGAAAGGTAAACGACCCAATATAAGTTACTTTCATTCTTTTGGAAGCAAGTGTTTCATTCATAATAATGGTAAGGACAATCTTGTAAAATTCGATCCAAGAAATGACGAAGGTATTTTTCTGGGTTATTCATTGAATAGTAGATCAATCTATAATAAACGCACGTTGTGTGTAGAAGAGTCAGTACATGTTATCCTTGATGAGAATAACACTTCGTCCAAGAAAGGAATTACTGCAGGTGATGAAGATCAAACACAGGTAATTCAGGAGACAAACAAATCTCAAGAGTCAACTAATAAACCTGACAGTGTGGTAGAGTCAACTAATGAGATTAGCAACAGTCAATCAGAACCTCCAGAGGAGTCAACTACTCATACAATTCGTCCAAATGAATGGAGAAGCGAACGGGAATATCCTCAAAAGTTCATCATAGGGGATCTAAGCGAAGGAATAAAAATAGGGGAGCTCTCAAGAAAAAAGCTAACATAGCATTGATTTCCCAGATTGAGCCAAAGAAAATAGAGGAAGCTTTTGAAAGACTCAAGCTGGCTGCAAGCAATGCAAGAAGAGCTAGATCAATTCGACAAAAATCAAGTATGGAAACTGATGCCCAAGCCTGAAAATGCTCCCGTAATTGGAACAAAGTGGGTTTTCAGAAATAAGCTGAATGGGGATGGAAAAATTGTGAGAAACAAAGCCAGATTAGTTGCTCAAGGATACTCTCAACAAGAAGGAGTCGACTATAACGAAACCTTCGCTCTAGTAGCTCGACTAGAATCTATACGAATTCTTCTTGCATATGCATCCTTTAAAAGATTCGGGATGTTCCAGGTGGATGTTTTGAATGATTTCATTGAAGAGGAGGTATCCGTGAAACAACCTCCTAGATTTGAAGATTTAAAGTTTCCCTACCATGTGTATAAACTGACCAAAGCGTTGTATGGACTGAAACAAGCTCCACGAGCATGGTACGAAAGACCTAGCTCATTTTTTATTGATCACGAATTTACAAGAGGTAAAGTAGATACTACCCTGTTTATTAAAAGATCATCAGAAGGTAATCTCATTATTCAAGTTTACGTTGATGATATTATTTTTGGTAGCGCTAATCCTCTTTGTGCAAGAAATTTTCAAATCTTATGCAAAGTGAGTTTGAAATGAGTATGATGGGGGAGCTAACGTTCTTTCTTGGACTTCAAATTCAACAATCTGAAGAAGGAACGTTCATATGTTAGACAAAATATACAAATGAGTTGATTCAAAAGTTCGGTATGAGCAATGCCAAAGCTATTGGCACACCAATGAGTCCTTCAACCAGTCTTGACAAAGATGAACAGGGAAATCCTATTGATGAAACTAAGTATCGTGGAATGATTGGCTCACTTCTTTATCTAACTGCTAGTCGATCGGATATTATGTTTAGTGTTTGTAAATATGACATGTTTCAGTCAGCTCCTAAAGAATCACATCTGACTACAGTAAAGAGAATTATTCGATATCTTATTTGAACTGTCTCTCATGGATTGTGGTATCCACACTCTAATAATTTTAAACTATAAGGTTTTTCATATGCTGATCTTGCAGGTGATAAGGAAGACAGAAAAAGTACCAGTGGAACATGCCAACTACTTGGAAAGGCACTGATATCTTGGAACAGTAAAAAGTAAGGATCAGTCGCATTATCCACAACTGAGGCTGAGTATATCGCCATTGGACAATGTTGTGCACAATTACTATGGATATCTCATCAATTGGGTGACTATGAATTATTCTTTAAACCCATACCAATTGTCTGTGATAACTCTAGTGTTATATGTCTCTCAAAAAATCCTGTGCATCATTCTAGGGCAAAGCATATAGACATCAAGCATCATTTTATTAGAGATCATGTCCTTAAGGGAAATATAGAACTATCTTTTGTTAGAACTACTGATTAATTAGCGGATATTTTTACTAAGCATTTACTAGAGGACAGATTCTGCTTTTTAAGAGAATTACTTGGTATTACTTGTATTAATCATTAATATTAGGACCTATGTATTACTATATGGCTAATGCTCATTTTTTAATCATTAATTGCTCCTCCGAGTTCCCTTCCTTTTCCTCTCTTTTCACATCAGTTGCAGAGTTCAAAGAAGGAAAACCAATCATCACGTCTGATCACTGACACCCCTTCATTTTCAGTACTCAACCGTCAGAAACCCTTCTTTTAATACCTGAAACCCCTTTTCAATCTCCATCGTCTCTATCGCCTAGAAACCATCTCTAAAAACTTTCCTCAACCAAAGCTTTTCCATGGTCAAACACTCCAAAAATCCCTCAGCCTCTACCAGGAAGAGTACTCGCTCAAGAGCAAAACCCCATTCTCAGCCTCCAGAACAAGTAGACCTAGGGTCCGACCATTCAGAAGGTTTTGCCTCCTCTCAGGCGGACCTCTCAGATCATTCTCATACTTCAGGAGAAAAAGTCTTGGGAAAAAGACCTATGGAAGACCCCCCTAAATCCTTTACTCCAAAGAAGTCAAAAATAGATTTCTCCAGCTCTTTAGAGTCTGGCCTAAATTTCTGGGATTCTCCAAACATGGATTTTTTCATCGCTTTGAAAGACAAGCCAATTGCTCATGGGAGGGTAGTCAACCTTGATGACATGGAAGCCCTAAATTGTAAGGTAAAAGATTTGTTCGTCTATCAAGGCTGGTCAAAATTCTTTTTTGTTCCCCTTCCTAAAGTTTATGAACCCCTAGTGAAAATATTTTATGC